TGAAACTTAACATTCGCTGCTACGACACAATGTCAATTTCAAAAATAATTTTCTCATTTAAATTAGGAAAAGTTTTTTAGGTTTTTCGCACAAAATTCTCTTTCAACTTTTGTCTTATATCTTAAAGAAACTGATAGAAACCGTTCCCAGAATAGTTGCACATTTCAACTTATTTCAAACACTAACTAACGGCTTAAGGCAATAAAATTTTAAATTGAAAATCATAAGCACGATCTGAAAGCGTAAGCTTCGCATGAAGAGCCGAACCAAGCGTTCTTATTTACTTTTTATAATTAGATATTTCAGTGAAACAAGATCTATGACTACTGTTTAACGCCAATGTCGATGGTTTTTTATTCCAATTTCAATATTTTGCACCTGGTACACTTTGCTGCAGTGTCTTTTCCATTAATGGTATGATTTTACCGTAGAGTTTCTGCAGGTAATTTAGTATGTTTTTATATATAAAAACTTTAAAGCAAATGAAAAAAAACGTGCAAAAAAAGTAAATAATTGATTAAAAAACATCTTTCATTAAACTTGAGCGGCCCTAATGTTACAATAAACCTCAAGATCAATTAGTAACCGCAATAAGTAAAAATTTTTAAAAATAAATGACAATAAAAAAGTCATTATTATTTACTTTGTAAAACTTAATAATGATTAATAGTAAATACCTCCAGTAGCCATGACTCACACGACTATAAGCACATAATGCGTATAAATAGCATTGCACTACCTTTGCCTATATAATGCTAAAGTGTTATTCATATATATATGATATATATATATATATATATATATATATATACATAATATATATATATATATATATACATAATATATATATATATATATACGTGTAACAAACGCACAGAAATAACTTAAAATATGAATGTGGATTTTAAAATTGGGAAATAAATTAAACCTTGACAACTAAAATAACTGAAAATTATTTACACAAAATTATTACAATTAATCAATAATTTTGCGATTTACTAAATAACATACACTTGTCGACGTAAGACAATGACGGCTGTTTTGTTTTCTCCCATAGCATTCCATTTCCGATTTGCCGATCGCTTTTTCTCAAAAGAATATTTTATGACATCAGTGTCAATGAATTGTTTTATTTATTGAAATCAATTCTAATAAAGCAACAACAACAATTCCTGATGGATAGTTTCGTTCAGTGTATTTAAATAATAAATGTAAATAAACACCCTCTACGGAAGGAAAACCTAAAAGATTAGATCATCTTTGAAAATACTGAACGACGGTTTCTTTAATTTAATCGATTTTAGCTTTATATGTATCTTTAGCATTTGATCCGTCAATTGTTTATTGGGATAAATAAATATTAACATTGCACATGAAAATGAAGGTATGTTTATAAAACAATTTATTAAGCAAATATAGATTGAAAAGAAATTTTGAATACTCTTTGCTGAGAAAAATTGATAATAGATTTAAATTGGATGTGAAGCAACGTTTTCATGTTCTAAAACAATTCATATAATATCATAGGCGGAAAATGTCCTTTTCAAAATTCCAGATAAGGCAGACATGCATATGGATTTTGCTAGCTTCACTTAACATAACCAAGGTAATTGTATTTTGTCAAAAAAGGACATAGAGGATTGTCGAAATGTTAGTCAAAAATGATAAGAACCTTCTTTTAAATCAAATATCGAGAAGCGCTTTATACAATTACTTTCCATGATCGTTTGGTATTTTCTTTTCATATTTTATGATAATTATGAACCGAACGACCTAAACCGTTTTACACAATGTTCCCACTGGAGTTATTAAAATAATCACTCGGAGACAGATCCGACGGATCGACCAGATTAGTTTTTAGCTTATTTTTATGTTGAACAAGTAGCCATCGCTTTCATGCTAAAAATACAAAATATCCTGACTAACTTAAACTTCAAAGACCGTTAATTATCAAGCACAACAGTTTTGATTTTGCAGATTTCTACTTTCGCGGATGACATACGTAGTCGGTTAACGCTACCCAATTTAATGGTTTCAGAGACTTGCTTGAACACCCTACAACAACTATGCTTTTTTGAGAGCATTCCATTTCGTAACATTTTCTGTTTTTTATGCAAGAAATTCCATTGTAAATACAAAACTTGAGGCAAATTTTTCGAATCAACGTTGGTATCTATAACGGATATTGGAAAAGAGAAAGGCTTCTAACTCCCACGGTAGTAAATAAATTAATCCACGAAAGGCTCTAAAAACTTAATTGGCCAGCGCTGGTTATACTAGCTCAAGAAAGGATACAAGGGTTTCTTGAATTTATATTTGCCATAGGAAAAATTTTGTACCTTCGTCAACTTAAGCAAATATAAAAAAATTGCAAGTTTTTGTGTGAACGTGCTAATCACTGCAGCTGTGAATATTAAAAAATGTTATACCCTACACCAAGTACAGGTTGCAGGGCATATTAACTTAGTGCGATCGTATGTAAAACGCAGAAGGGCTTAAGATGGACCCATCTTTTATTACACCGATCGATTCAGAATTATACACTGATTTGATCTAAGCTTGTCTGTCCGTTTGTCCGCCTGACGTCTGCCCATATAAATTTCTGTCCAAACTACCGGTCGCAAGTTTTGAGATATTTTGGTGAAATTACAGTGACATGTTTTGGCCCAAGGACGAACTTTATTGAAAATTGTTCGAATCGGTCCACTTTTTCAACCACTCGCCATATAACGCCCTATTTTGAAAACTCATTATATGGGAAAAAATTGTAATTTTCAAAATTTCTCGTCAAAAGTGGCTCAGTCGTAGTATTTCGGCTTGCTAAATTTATATGAAAGCTTTGAACCGGCTGAGGCAATTGTTGAACTCCCTCTCTGACGACAATAGTGATTTAACATAAAAAAATGAACTGTACCAAATTCGGAGCATCCAAGCTTATTTTTGGATTCTGACATATGTAAGGATAGAACTTGTACTACATTAGGTTGCGTTGTGAGCCCGCTTTCCCATAAACACACACTTGGAAAATTTGCTTTATATAGAAACAAGATATCATTTTTCTCTTCTGTTGTAAAAATAAGAATTGTGTTAACAATGTGGTGTAGGGTATTTATGGTCGGCCTTGTCCGACAATAATGTTCTTAATTCTTTTTCTTTAGATTTCAAGTATTTGCTTCCTTTTTTCGATAAGTAAACTCAGTTAGGGGTTAAATGGAACTCAAACTAATTACAAGAAAATTGTTATTATAAATGATTAAAATTATGTGTTACGTACAACAACGCGTTCTTAACAAAAATGTCGATAAACTATTTTAACAATATAGATTAATTATTAAAGCGATATGCGCAGAGGAAATTTTTAAAGGATTTTTTACCGGGAGTTTTCAAAGCCCTAAAATACTCATTGGAATCACACGCAATAGTTTTATTTTTGCTCAACGTAAGTTTCTAAATCGTTTTAGCTGTTTGTATATCACTATCGGAAATATTGCGGAAAGAAGCCGAACCTTTCCATGCATTCTCTTAATTGAAAATTGATGCAAACATCTACAGGAATCATTCAAAGTTTCAGTGAGCGAATGAGCATTATTAATCTACAAAACTTATTTCAAGCGTATAAAAGATATTTATTTAAAACGTTGGAAAACTTTTTTTTAATTGAACAAAAAACAAAGTAGCGTTTTTCGCAAATGATAATTTCTTAGCGTAGAAAGTTTATTAATTACGGGTCATGTAGCAACAACGAAACGATTGAATCTGAGTATTGCCCACCCATTTGTTTGACGAAATAACGAAAACAAGTAGGCACCGTCCGTTTATCTTTTAGCAAGACAATGGAAGCTATCACACATCTCGTCTAACAACTAGCTATTTAAACACCCAAAAGAAAATCAAGATAATGATTCATCCACCGTACAGTCCTGATTCGCCATCTAGTGAATTCCTTTTGTTCCCGAAGGTTGAAAAGAACAACAACAATTATCAGCTACTTAAGAAACCGTTGAAACTATCACAGTTGCAGATGCCTTAAGCGATATGACAAATGAATAGAACCAAAATGTAAAGACCGTAACGGGAACTATGTGGAAAAGCAAGAAGACAGTTTTTAACAAAAGATTACAAAAGTTGTGAATATTAAGTTTAAAAGATAAACACAAAGCGCCATGTATACAACGGTATCAAAAAATTAATTATCAAGATGTCTTAATCAAGCCGGCTCTTACAAATTCGTTTCCACCTTTTCAATTAAATATCCGCCTGAATGGCCGAATATGCATAAGATCACGACTAACAACAACTCGATGGTAGTATGCTCAAATTTCAACTGCGGTAGAATTTTCAATAAAGCCGATAGCCTTAGATGCTACCGCTTTAAGACTTTAATCGTAGAACTTATTACTCTGACTAATTCAATTATAAAGATAATAACAAAAATAATTTCATAAACTTTAGCTATCTGCAGTCGGGCGAACGAACATAAAATAATTTTTTACTCATCTCATGCGGATACGCGCCTCTCTGTCTGTCTGATTTTGACACTGCTACTAAACAAACGAATATGACCAAGCGAACATAGTGAGTAATCGCACTTTTCATGCAAACATTACATTTTTTCTATTAACAGGTATTTAAGACGAATTTTGGGTATCCATTTCTTAATTTTATTTATTTAATAATTTTGAATATTTATTATTGCTAATCAAATATACATATAAATTTGGTTAAACTCTTTTATTAACTGGGTTTGTTGGGCTACTTTACCCCTGCATAGAGACAAGGAAAAGAAGCAAAGACTCAGAATCACATGCTGATCAAAAGTTTATATTGTTTTCAATACATCTTTCTATATAAACTTGAAGAATAAATTTAAAATTCGAGATGTTATGAACGGAAAATCAAAAATTATATATGTATCTCTGATCTTTGTTGGCAGACATAAAACAATTCAGTTCATCATACAATAATAGGTTCTGAAATTATGAATATTAATTATTACTTACTTATTTAAACATTATCCTTAAAGAAATAATGTAAAAAATACCCTTTCATCAAGTGACTATCGTAAAGATGAAGTTTCTATGCGTGAAGACATTTTAATCCACATGTAATGATTCCTGTAGACTTACTCGTAGCAACTATAAAAGACATTCAGTGTGCAGCAAAAGCAGCAGGGAGTAAATGTTGGGAATACAAAAAGTAGATTTATTTCGAATTTCAAATTCGATGTCGGAATGTTTAGTTTTTTCTTAGCGCCTTATTTTTGTTTCAGTAACTTTTTTACAAATAATTTGCGCTCTTTACACAATAAAACGTTTGATACGAATTCCGACTTGCTGTAAACTGGTTTTTGTAATATTTTTTTTCTAACTTTTGATGACTAAAAATATATGTTTGGAAAATTATTTTACAATTTTTTCTTCCCCATTAATTATTTTATAATATTTTTTTATTTCCTTTCCTTTTTAGCTTTTCCCTCTTAACGTTTTTATAAAAGCATTAATTTTTTTTTTGATTATTTTATCTGATGCTTGACTTCACATTTACGTTGAACTTCTTTTCTTTTCTCTCAAAGGTTTCGTTCTGGTATCATTCTTTTCTGTATTTTCTTTGCTTCCTTACTTAATATTCTTCGTTTTGTCTGTTGTTGCTATTTTCCTAACTAAGTTCTCTTTTCTTGATCTCTTGTTACTTTTGCTGTTATTCAAAATGCTTGTGTGAACAGAAATCTTGCACTTCTCGATTACCATATCACATGTATTGGACCTTTCTTCTTGAACCGTTCAAAAGTAACTGAAAACAACAACTCACTGTTTTACCTGTTTCACGCTCAACTAACGCCTGAAGCGTCAAACTCGACTCAACTCAACGACTTGTTTGAAGCAAAGATATTTCACATTCTCTATTCCTTTCTCTCTCTCTCTCTCTCTCTCTCTCTCTTCCGCCCCTCTGCTGTCAGACACCATTATTAAAAATAGATATAAAACAAAATCATGCAAAAGTTAACGGCATAAGTTTAATGTGGAAGTGCAAAAAGAATATCCAAGAAACTGCATCATAGAATCTTCTTATTCAGAATGGAAACAAAAGCAACAATCCCATAAAGACTAGTTTTCCTCAAGTATTACAGTCTCATGTTGAAATGGCTGACCGACTCTTCGTCAATACATACAAGCGATTGTAGCACAACACATTTTTGCCATTGCATGTTGAGATCTATTTTTGCCTGCTCTTTGTTTTTTTCGTTTTTTGTTTACTCATTCTTCAACATTCTTTTTACCTTTGGCTTAACGTCATCAGCGAAGATTGAGACTATATAACTTGTGTCACTTTGTATGAAACACAAGGAAACACGTATCAAAGACCTGGTACTTGGTTATGCACATGATCAGCGTGAGATTCTGATTCGATCTTAACAATGATGATCTTTTCGTACTTTTCGTTCGCTGGAAGGGCGCATTAATATTGTCATTCCGTTTGTAACGTTTAAGAAGAATATACAAAATGGGAGAAGTAATAAATTTTTATTCAGCCTCTGCCGCTTTATCACTTTTCGATTTCGAAGCACAACGATCCATGCGACGCAATATTATATCTTACTTCAACAAATTTGCTTACTGTTATATTAAGTTTTTGATAAGCTCATCAATATATTCTCAAAGAAATGATAATGGCATTTTTTGACTTGTGACTAACGCAACTAAAAGGAAATCATACTTCATTTACCAGAAATTTAAAAAGAATAATTTCTTACATAGACTTGTAGTATGAATCTGATCCTGTCATATCACAATAAAAAGAAGAATTTCTTACATAGACTTGTAGTATGAATCTGGTCCTGTTGCGAATCTTGTCTTTTTTATTTTTTGCGTCACACAACACGCATTTCGCAAAAACTTAATAAAAATGTATTGAAATATTTAAGTTTTTTCCAGTTTTTTATTTGTTTAATTCTTTTTGATATTGCAGATTTTTTTATGAACTTAAGATTACGATTTTTAATGTTTTATCTATCTATCTATGTGACCATGAAAATTTTAGACTTAATTCAGGAAAAGGTTACCAAAATTGCATGTGCGTGGATGGAATCTTATAGTGTCCATTAGGATATTTGCTTTAATGCATATTTTAGGCGCTCACGCACGACTCAACCCAAACTTGTAGCCATTCTTCGATTTCGATTCGTTTGCTTCTTTTTGATTTTAAGTTTCATGAGCAGACGCAAACATACAAACATACGGTACTATCCTTTCACACTACATCGATTGTTGTTTAACATGTAGTATATTTTCGCCAATCTATGTGTCCGCCTGATTTTGACAAAATTTGGTAAATTAACTCGTTTTGGTCTAAGAAATATCGAAAATGGATTGGACCGGACCATTTTGTCGAACACTCGAATAACGCAGTTTTTAATATTTCTCGACAAACATTGTAGAAACTTATATTTTAGCATATAAAATGTATGTGGAAAACTTGGATCGAATGAGACCATTTTTTGAAACATCTGTGTAATAAACGTTCTTACGAAAAGTAAAGCTTTATACGGGAAAAGTTCAATTTGTATTATTTTATGATAAGAATTTGTTCGCAACAATAATTTAACACCAAAATTAGCTGTACAAAATAGATTTATTGTTTTAATCGTTCCCATGGAAGTAAGTCGTTATATAGCAACATTGAAGAATAAGATCTTTGACAAATTACACATGAGTTCACACTTTGATCCTCTTTGATTCGTGAAAACCATGCTTTCACTTTACAACTAGATACAGTTTTTGGCACGTTGTCACGAAAATAAGTAAAGTATTGTATTAGGTTAAGTAACGTAGAGTATTGAAAGGTCGGCCTTGTGTGGCTATAGTATTTTAACTTGTTTTTATTTCTACTTCTTTCTTGTCAGTGATTTTGTGACCTATTTTGTGTGTATCGCACTATGTTCGTTATATTCGTAGAAATTTATCATCGCTTATCCTATCATGTCTTGCATTTTAATGTTTTATGATACACACTTGTGCCCAATTCAGTACCAAGTAGAAAAAAATGATAAGAATTCACCTAATGTAGGGTGAAAAGAATTATAAAGTGTTTGTTAAAAGAAAAAATTTGAATTGGAAAGAATTAATAAAATTGTCACAAACACAAACGAATAACGTACATTTGAATGAGGTTAAGATGAAAATTGCTTTTTTGAAAATAACCTAATTTTACAAAGCATTTTGTGTATGTTAAGCGATTAAAGAAAAGAATCCTTATTGCATACTCTAAGCACCTACTATAGTATATAGAAAAAAGAAACTCGATGAGTAGAATTGAATACCACGCATAAAATGTGATTCATTCAAAATGTAGGGGGCAGTCTTGGTAGCAGCAATATGTGCCAAACGTAAGAACGTTGCTTAAGCACTTTAAGAGCCACTTTTAAAAAGTTTCAATATGTATGAAAATGACTACTGCCAGACATCTTACTTACTGCCTTGACATCTTAGTCCTCGAATTATTATTGCAATTACTGCGATTAGTGATCATAAAAATTATTCTTGACATATTCCGAAATATGATTCGAATTAGAATCGGTACAGACCTTTCTATGTTCGGGTAAACTACGCCAATCGCGACATCTAGTCAACTCAGTTGAAACTTTCCATTTCTGCGTTTACCTCTTTCGGAAATACCTTCATGTAAGCGGAAGAGAACATTTTACGTGATTTTATTCTTTTTTTCCGTCTCATGCTTTCTATCTATTGCATGCGGATCAAGATCGTTTTCACACTCTCTTCTTTATAATGAATTGTAAAATATACTTGCAGCATTTTCACTTTCTATTCTTTTCTACAAAAATACCTACACGTAAAACGTCGGAAGCTTTAGGCATAAACATGCACTTAACGCCATATTTAGTACAGTTTTGGAAATGGTAAGTTTCAATTAAAAAATGGGCAAATCACCCAATACGAACGAAAACCTACGTTTAAAAAAGTCATTTTGTACAAATTAAGAAATCGCTATTTAAGGAATATGTATATTGATTATTATGAGAAAAATTTCTTTATAGTTATAGTCACTTGATTAAAAAGAAAAAATACCTTTTGCAGAATCGAATGTTACATATATATATATATATATATATATATATAAAACATTTGATCCTTTTAAAAACCACACCCTTTCCAAAGGAAGACAGAACAAATCAGTTTCGACCTCCCATTTGCAACGCCTACAAATATTCACTCAAGACCCCGTATATATACAAGGCGGTTTAAATTTAAGTCGATTTCGTCAATTTACCGTCCGTTGATTTAGAAAATCGGTAGACATAATCAGAGCTAAGGTCAATTAGATTAACAGTTCCAATTATCAAGTTAACGTAGCCACAATTAGCATATGTCTTTCGCGCTCGGAAAGGTGGGAACTATTAATATATATGTACACATATCTGAAACACCACCAAGTATATGTGTTCTCGGTAATCGGAACAACAAGAACATTTCCAATGCAATTAACTTTGCAGTTGGAAATGTCAAAAAAATTCGGATAGTTTATTTCGCTTACAAACAAAGAAAAGCAAAATTGAAACAAGAAATTCGACAAAAGCCCAATTATTTGAAAGTCCTGCTTACCAACGTCTCATCTTGACTAGAAAACAGCGCAAAAACTTGCAGATCTAATTATATACGACACTAATTATGTTTTCATAGGAATGGACAAAGTCCCGTTGTAATAGGTCAATAATTGGCGCACTCATCCAAACATTTGCGATGCTCACTCCAATTTGCGTTTGCAGCAATAGTCAATGCGCATCAAATTGTATGAAAACCGTCAGCACGCAACAAAGCATATAAAACAAGTTTTGTGCTGATCGGTGAGGTAACCTTTTCTAACAGAGAAGTCAAAATTCGAAATGATAACTCAGGGAAAAGTAGAAGTTGTCGAATTTTTTCACTGACAATTTTTAAACTAATTTGAGGACCAAACTGAACCTAAAGAGACTAACAAGAGATTATTCGAGAGAAAGTTTGTGTCTCTAAGAGGACTTGTAAAATCCGTAGCGCTGATTTTCTTTCGCTATTCACCAAAAATATGTATATCATTTCTATGTAAGATTTCTAATATATATTGCTCTATATTAAAAGCATTTATAATATTGTGGTGAATATAAAAGGGGAATATATAAAAGTCTTATTGTTTCTGAAGAGCTGTAACAGAGGACCACATTGGCGAACGAGTAAAAAAAAAGCTGTGATCATTACTTGCTGCATACTTGATTTAAATGATAGGTATCTGCGATTCGCTTCTAAGCACAATACGCTTTCTTACTTATTATAACTGCGAAATGCAAAATTTATTACAAAATTTACAGAAGATCAAACTCTACGGAAATAAGAACCAATTGCATTTCATTTTGCAATGTATAGACCTTGGAAAGTCGAAGTATAAAAAATAATTATAATAAAATAACAGGTTGTTCTTCATAATAATGCAAGCACACAACGTTACAATTGTACATGCCAGCACACACCAACAGAAATGTACCAGAACATACCGAACTTAAGAAACTCTTTTAAATTCACTAAAGAACAGCTAATCCCTGGAGATAAACTTACAAAAATCAGTTATTTAAAGACATTTTTCAAATTTCTCTATTGCATATTTTTTAAAAAACAATAGAAAAATACGATACATTCGAAGATCGATCTGCAATTTTTATTAGAATAGAATATCGAATGTTGACAGTTGAATTATTTTCTACTTTTCGACTACTACCGTTTGAGTCTTCTAAACAATTTTTTTTTTCTAAAGTTTTGCTTCTTATACGTATATGTTCTTTCTTCAGAGGTAAATTATTGTGTCATTGAAATATAAAAAAGGCAAACACAACTAAAACGTGCAAACCAGTAAGTGGATCTGTGTTTTATTGACTTTTCTACATCAGAAAGCATTCAATTCGATGGAATTCTAAAAGGAGTTCAGGAGTAGAAGGAGAGAGATACACAATAGTGTATCACACAATTTAGGCAAGAAACAAGTAAGAAAGTTGCGTTCGTCTGATATTGTTGCAATGCTTTATTATTAATAAAATGGCAGTTGACCGAATATGCTTGCATCGTGACTTTGATCATTTGTGATGAAAATTTTTTGTCACACGTTTCATTCATATCCACTTATGGCAGCTATCAAAAAGTCTTCCTAGATATTTTCGCCTTTTTCCAATATCCATCAACTAAGCGCACATGCTTTAAGTTTTAGCTCTCTATTTCTAATTTTTACATACGTAAAAACTTTTATCGTAAAATTTTCACAAAAATGGACAGAAGCAACTGAATCGAATAAGGATCGTGTGTGAATCAATGGTACCTGTATATGCTTTATGAAATCTGTCGTAAACATTTTTGAATATTTGAAATAGATTTATATAACCAGTTATACACCGGTTTTCGGAAGTCGAACGATATACGTTTATAAGCGCGCAGAATGCATGTTTTTTATTTGGTCACATCTCAGACTAATTGAAAAAACTACTATGTATTTGTTGACAATAACAATAATAAAAAATTGTAGCCAAAAAAATTTTTAAAAAACCTTGCAAGTGCAGAGATAAAATTATATTTCTTACATTTGGGGATCATACGAGGGTTTGGGGAACCAAACGGTTCCTCAAGATTATGAAGATTGTTGTGTATTGTGTGAAAGTGATCCATATAATTATAGCTAACGCATATCATTTTCGATAAATACACAAGTTACTAATCACCTCATTTTGTAATTTTACCAATGAATGTCTTTGGCAACGATTTGCGAACATTTTTATTTCTTCGCGCTCCACATCATAAACGAAGGTTCAAATATTACACGGAGAAGAAATTTTAAATCAAAATCTTACTGCGATAATGAACGCAACAAACTGCTCAGCTAATGCGAATGAAGGGGACGATATTAGTTTTAATGAAAGGACAAATCCTGCGGCAACAGCTATAAAAACAGTCTGTTAGCTGCGGGCAGATTTATCGCGCTATCTGGACGCGTATCTAATTATCCGCTGCTCAACGTTGTCACAACTGAGATTAGAAGCTGCAACTTGTCGCGCATGGTTTGATCCGACAGCCTGTTTTTGGCAATGGTCCTGATCGGCCTTCAATTGTACATATAATATTGACTTATAAATCGTGCTTTACGACTATCTTAACTATTTACAAGGCGGTGTTATCCGTCCATCAACAAATCGTTTTTTGCTGGCACGCTCAAGCGCAGAAACGTAACCTATTGTATTTAACTTACAACCACTTAACGGGCGCCGCGTGTTAATAAATGCGTTTATCGTATTCTAGAAATTGCAGATCACAATTTACAGCAAGTATTGATTTAAAACTTGGCAAACATATTTCCTAAATTCCAGCGTAAGTGTATTCTTAATTAGCCAATTAATCCAGGTGAATAAAATTTTCTTTATGGTTAAAAGATAATCTGAATTAGATTAAGTTATCGGAGACGTGAGAGCTTTTAGTAGAAGAGAAAAAAATAACGACTAGAATGTTATCAGTATTACATATCTTGTGATCTTGTCTGCAAGATAGAAACCGCGCCAATGGAAGCATAATTCTCATGAAGACAATTGTTGGCAAAGAGCGGAAAATTATGTTATAAATAAAACATCAAGAATTCCAAATTAAAAAATATTTGCAACAGGAGCTTACAGCAAACAAAACAGTGGGAAGCGAGAGGGATTATGTACGACTTGCGGCTTACGGCTATGTGTGATAGCTATTGCTGAGATTTATGTATCTAATCTAATAAAATAATCTGAATTAAAAAAATGTTAGGTCATTTTAGCCGTTCATTTATAATTTGATGGTTTCCGTATACAATGGTTTACCACACAGTATGTTATTCGTTTATTCGACGACGTCGTCGAACACGATATATTCTTTTTATTATTGCTTAAACTCATCGTTAGGCATAGCAAAGAGAGCCAACATTAAATGGCTTACCAGTTTAGTATCAAAACCAATATAATGTAACATCAAAGAATAGCATTAAGGTTAACATAAACATGTTTGATAGATTCCTTGCTAAATGCCTTCCAAATAATCTATTTAGCAATGTTGAGACCACAAATTAGAGGAACAAGATCTGTAAAATAAGAGTCATCGTAAGCGTCTTTCTTTTTTTTTGATACAAATTTCTTTGCCGGCAAAGCAATGATAGGCCGAGAGAAATGCCGTCAATTATCGTCCTCTTAACATAAGAAAGACGCATTTGTCGCCTTCTGATAGCTCCGACGATATCGAACAGTCATTTGAACATTGTTCTTAAAGAAACACTAAATCAACTATTTTGCTTGTAAAATTCACAGAGTCTATATTTTTACTTAGTGAGAGAAAATTCTCGATGAGAAACTGCTGCACACTTAATAACTGTTTACAAACATAAAATGTCTCCAATAATCACATAGAAAAACCTGAGTAATAATATGGCGGCATTGATATCATCGCCGCACCCTTCTAGTTTGCTTTAAAAATTCTGGCTTTCTGCTGCTAAAGCGGTTATTGTTCCTTTGGGCAGCTTTAATTTGGCAACTATTCTCATCACAAATTTTGTTTTCTATTATTATTCTTTGCTTTAACGGGTGTGATTGATGCAAGTACCATATGTTCAGCACAGACTTGTTTTTAGTATGATGTTAATACTGGGATGTTAATACTCATTAGCAAAAAAATTTTCCTTTGAATGTAAACAAAAACCAACCAGAATGTGGCTGGAAATAAAATACATATATATATTTTAATAAAATTAAACAAAAGCTAAGAAAAATTCTCGCCGCAACATTTTTATTTTGTTTTTGTTTATATTTGACATGTGGGCCTTTACGCTGCATGGAATTTTTTTCCGGAAACATAGGAACGATTCTCTGATTAAATAATTTTCCTTATTTCACACAAAAAGAAAATAAAACGAAAACTTGAAAATTTAGCAAATATTAGTTTATGTATTTATTTATTATATTTATTGCAAAACTGCCAAACAAATAACCAATAATGCATAACTCTACCCGCAATTTTCCCAAAGCGCCGAAAGCATGAAGGCCTGGAATTGAAGGAATCACGTATAACAAACACTTTGGTTTAGTAGACTATATGTTTACCTAAGAATTCAAAACTAGTTATGAAACTCGGCTTCCCATTTTAGTCAACGTTGCTGTTACGCACACATGTATAACATTTACGTTTGTGTAAGAATGCTCCAAATTATTTGACAAAAAAAAATTCAGAGCTATATTCATTACTCTCCCTAAACAAGCAAAAGGATTACCATCGTTCGTTATAATAATGAAGAGAAAGGAACATTTTTTAGACTTACTCTCTTAGTGAACTTTCTCTAATATGAAGTATTCTCAGACATGTTTTAGGAAATACTCGACGCTGCGATGTAAAGTGGGCTTAACAAAAAATGTAGCTTTCCTCTTTTATCGCTGCAGGACTTCCTTTTCTGCCGACAAGGTGCTGATGACGTTAAGAAAAGAAATGCAGGGCATCACTAAAGCAATTTACATTTTGAATAAAGGTTACTTCGAACGTACAATAACTATCAACTTTGATAACATAAATTATTTTTTTACTATTTTTTTCATGATGCACAGAAAAACAGAGTCTAGTCCTCTCTTATGTTCATTTAATCTTTTCTTATATGAATGAATTATGATTTATTTGTCTGTTCTTAAATTATGAAAATACGCCACTTGCGCCGAGCCAAAAAAGGAAACATTAAAACAGCTGTTAAAAAACAGTATTACCCAACTACAATATTCATATCCTTATGAGCAAATAACCGTTTCTATCTTTACAAGAATTCATATATCTTTTCCATCTGTTTTCATGAAAAATTTTTATATCCATTTGTTATTTATGCTCTCGTTTTAATTTAAAGTACTGTAAAGAAGATTTTATTCATCTCCCTACCATGAATTGATAAAAACCGGGGCGCAACCAAGTGGTTGTTTATTAATTAAAAATAAACCGGGGCGCAACCAAATGGTTGTGTTCATAAATTGAAAATAAACCGGGGCGCAACCAAATTTGTTTGTTTATAAATTGCAATATATAGACTCTTAAGACTTCAAAAGGGATTCACTTCTTTGGCCTTCTTTTTCTTTAAAATTAACATATGCAAAAAAATTCGTGGACTAATAACATGAAGCGAAAGAGAAAGATTAAATGAGCATGAGAGACTTGATATTCTGTCAGTTGTTGAGATATTTTTTATATAGAAAAAGTGAGCAAATTATAAAAATTTTCCTTTTCTTTTTATTACTATTACTAGTGTAGAAATGAAAAATAACAAAGGGAGAACAATTGTAAAACAAAACATTACAATGTATAATTAATTAATAAAGCGAAAAGAACACTTTAAAACACAACAAAGTGTCGATTTCACAAAACACCCAAAGAACACAGAAAAGAAAAAAACAGGCGTAGAAACCTTTTTACTGGGAGGAAACTAACAACAACAAAAATTCGCCGACGCGTTTTCTTGTAACTACCAACACCTAGTTTAGGACAGGTACAGAACTATTGTGATTTTATTGAAAGTAATGGAAAATTCTCCGACAAGTTTTGCAAAATTTGCTCTAAATGAGGCTTCATCGTCGGCCTGTTCCAGAGAAACGCAATCGTTGAGTTGTATTAGCGGTGGGACGGCGGGGGTTTCAATGACTACATCGTCTTCGTCAAATAATAGTCCAATTCTAGCATCAGCTCATACCACTTCATGGCTAGCTGCTTTGCATGCACATCATAATAACAATAATAATAATAATAATGAGTCAGAAAAGTCTACCATCAGCATTTCGCCATCGCCTTGGCCATGTCTGAGCTGTGACAGCCAAAAGCTAGTAGGTAACCGGGTCAATCTAATTGAAGAAGACGAGGGAGGAGGTCAAGAAAAAGTAAGTGGGAGAGGATTACTATATGTGACGTGAATTATGACATTTTGAATCTTTTCCAGTACACTTTAGCCTCAAATGGTGCTATTGCTGCTGCTTCTTCTGCCTCTAAATCCTCACACTTAGAATTAGCTACATCTACAGAGACTGATTTTGACGCTTACGATTTATGCGGGGCTGTTTCTCTAACTCCTCCTCCTATTATGGAAGAACAGCTTGGAGCATCTGCTGTAGCCGCATCTGGTGGTCTCTCTAATCGTACATCTCTAAACAATTCCACCGAGAACCTCAGTTATGTTAGCGACAATTTTTATGGTGATGATGTAATTATTTTGGGCGAGGACGGTGATGCAGAGGCGGATGAGTTGTCTTTGAATTCTGATGATTGTATTTATGCTTATCGTGGGGAGGGAGCTGATTTTGATATTTCTCTCCAACCCTTAGCTGGTATGGGCGGCGGCTTCGGTGGCTTAAGTTCCAACAACTGTGGAGACGAGGAGACTGATTTTTTGGAAATGGACTTTGAACCAGATCCTCTGTCTGAATTAGAATATAATAATCAAACCGCCTCACTGACGACGACGGTAAACTTAAACGCAAATCTTACGAATTTAATGCAAAGAAATTCGTGCCATTTAACATCGCCTAGCGCTCAACGACATCAATTATTTTCGTCACCCATAGATGATTTGCCACCACCCCCTAAAGCTTTACAAGCTCAATCTATGTTAGGTAAAAACTTTGCACGCGTGACTTTGCATTTGGATCAAATACAAAGAGATTGTAATGAAGAGGCATTGATGAACGATTCTCGGGAACGCTTGAACTCGGCATTAGACACGCATAGCATGGAAAAGGAATTCGCTCAAGTCTCAAGCCAAGAACAACTAAAAGGTGCAGCTCACTCCTTACCTAACACTTTGCATCAGCATTTTGCTAATCGCAGTGTATCCGAGTCAGCGGTGATCAATTCAAATACAGCCGGTTTGTTGGCTCCACCCTTAAATTCATTAACACAGAAATCCCCCTCCAAAATAACGGGAGCTAAACCGAAACGTTTGTCTACTTTTTCATCCACGTCTTCAACATCTTCCAAAAACTCTTCCAAATCTAGGAACTCTTTAAGATCAGCTTTTCATCCTACCACCCTTTGCAACAGTTCTAGTTTTGATGAGCGTAGTGTCAGCTGCTCAGAATTCCGTACTGAACGTGATCTTAACACTGCGAATGCTTTACCTAATGCACCACACACAGCACCCTCCACAACGGCCGTTTTAACTGCTCCCGAATTCAATTCATTAACAGAGGATACTTGCTTAGATTGTTTGGAAAGGGAATTTCTAGCTAGCACTATAGGCAAAGCGTTAGACTCACAAGACTGCTCCAAGTGTCGGAAGCGTTTGGGTAGTCTGGTTTTATATAATCGGTCCGAGCACACTGGTTTTAGACGAAGTGCAAGTCCGACTTCAACCTTTTTTCTTAACGACCAAGCATCAACAACTTGTCGTCTATTTTCGTGTGAATTTTTGCATACCCAAGCACGCAAAAGGCAAGAATGGGACTCGTATGTAAATGAAAAATCTGTCAATCAAAAACAAGAAGGTAAAGTGAACAAAGAAACTGGCCATATGGAAACAACGGACAATACGAAGTGCTTTGATAGTAATACGGATTTCAGGGTAGGTAAATCAAATCGGATGAACAGAAATAAATTTGAGAATCATTATTTTTTAAGCTTTTAAAGACAATTAAACCAACAGAAATGGTCTGCACAACTATACCAACAGTAAATATAAATGAAACAATTCTAATGCAGGCTTTAGTAAGTGGTTGCTTAAACTCACTTCGAATTTTTTAAATTTATTTTTAATCAATTATCTTTTATGCTCTCAAGGATAAATTGCAAGTTTCCTACAACAAGGAGTTGTTACATCATACATTTAAAAAATTGTACACTCGGCATTTCAACAACAGTTCCTCACACACAGCACCATTATCAGCAACTTCAGCGCCATTAACTGCGCCTACGGAATATCGCGATTTGTTACATTTACTTCTGGCCGCTTCGAAAAGTAGAGGTAACTACTTGAAACTAAAGAAAATCATTGAAATAATAAGTCAGCAAAAAATTGTCGTACAGTTTAAGAAGGTAAGAAAGTGAAATAGACGGTACAACATGTATAAAAGAATTTCGCTTTTCTGGTTCTCCAGGATTCTGCCATTACTGAAATGGAAACAATTCAAGTAAATGTCACTGATGTATTACATTATTGGCCTCTCTATAAAAATTTGGATAAATTAAAACGATTGGATCAACGTTTCTTAAATAATAACGTCTTAGGTGCGTATCACCCATATTTTGTACGTCTACATCTCGGTCAAGGATGATATGTGCTGTTTTTTTTTTTCGTTTATAACATCTAAAACAATGTATCAGAATACACCCTTGATAATCTCCTTTCATTATCATAAGACTCTGAATTGATTTAACTATGTCCATTTGTCCATCTATCGACATGTCCCTTGTGTTCAAAGATACCAAAATTATGGTAGAGGGAACAAAGTTATTCTTAAGCGCTAGTGACGTTTAAGAACGAAAAGAAGTTTATAAAAGTTTTCATTTAATATAGTTGCAAAAAAACATTGCAAAGTAGGTTTTTTCTTTAAAGAGCTAACCCCTTTAAGAATAGTTATCAATAATTTTGTATAGTGTAAATTTCTTTAGCGCTCTACACTTTATTATCTTTATATTATTCAATGTTGCCGTCTCTGACTTTATGTAAAAGTGATGAAACAATATATAAATTTGAACAACTTAAAATTCAACTCAGCGAAATGTACTGTGAAGTTGTAGTTGATACCTAGAAAATAGGTCAGATCCCGTTTAAAAAAGTTTCTGGTTGTTTTACGTAAGTGATTTTATACTTCTGAAGGAGAATATTTTAATCTACCTAGTTATACTTTTCAAACAGTAAAAACAAAAAAAAAACTTTTGCGTTTGCGTTATAATGCTTGAATTTTGTTTTCTGAATTTTAGGAAAAATTGCTAACGTCATAAGACAAGCTCATCAACGTTGCACCGCGCGCAGACCTTTGCCCGAATCTATTTCAATACCGCAGTATTATCCCAGCGGATTTTTAACATTAACAAGAGCTTGTTGAAAATGTATTCTGTAAGTAATTGCTTTCAATGAAATGTTGGCGAGCGATTCACTTGTTATGATAATCAGCTGAATGATTTAAAAAAAGGAGAAAACATTTTTATAGCACAATAAAATCATAACTTTTTTTTATTTTATTTATAAATATATACATAATTGTAACATCCCCTTACTTGAAAAATTCATTACGTAGAACTATAAAACAATGTACTTATATGAATGCTTATCACCAATTATATAGAGAAACATAAAAAACTTAACTTAAGTAGTTGTACGCTTTAAATGGTAATAATAACAGCAACAACAAGAAACACTTTGATAATATTGTGTCCGTTAAAATAAATGTTTGTAAAAGAATCGACAAAATCAAGAAAATAATGGCATTCATATATACATACATAATATTAGGTTTTGAAAATTTAATGCAATTGTGTTTTAAATTAAATGCATATAAACAAATGAAATCTTCAGATAAATGAACATCATGCAATTATACAATTCAAGAACACAATAAAAATTTTGGAGGTAACGTTGGATAAAGAATCGGAATATTTGGATGGAAAAAAATGAATTCAAGGAAAACTTCCGTGTTAAACATCTGAGCTTTGTTATATCATTTTAAGGTAAAGAGTTCATTCACTCGTGACACGCATCGAAACAGAAATGCTGGCTGATGTGATCATGCCTTTCGCGAATTATTATGTAACATGTTGTTGGCGTTTTCAATTCATTTCATTTGTTTCGCAAAGAATGCGATAGGAAGTTGTAATTCAATTATATTCCATGTTTGAACTTTGGACAAATCCATCTGCAACAGCAAACGCGGTGACACTCTGTCGGAAATCTTGAATTCATAGTAATTATTATTTAGCATATGTAGGGCGAACGCTTCTGAAAACAGAAAATTGCAAACTTTTTCACATATTGGGTTAATTGAAAAGTTTGCGAAGTCATTGAAAAATGAAGTGATTCTTCAAACTCTTAAGAGATCTTCTGCATTTAGCTTCTATAATTTCACTAAAAGAACAGAACAAGAAGCCATGTATAGTGTACACAACGGATGCCTCAAAATTCGCATTAACCGTTCCTGGACATACTTGATGGAAAAGTGGGTCTATGTACACTATGTATATATACTATCTTGATGAATGCATATTTTTGGTTTTCTCACAAATATTTATCTGCAAATACTCTCTTTTCGAAAATTTATTCGCCGAGAGGGAGCCAGCGAAATGCTGCTCTTTGCACAAAAGAAAACCACAGAACTCAGTCACACAAATCGCCCAAAAATTCACATTTTTGTTAAGAAATCTTTGCTGAACTGAAAAACTTGCACAAAGGTTTTTCAAGGGCATTTAATATTTTAGGTGTCAAATAACCGCTCAGTTGAGAAGCATATTCGTTAAATAAATTTTTTTATCAGGTAAAGACCTTCTGAAGCCGATTAAAAGTCAAATTTCGCACAGGGCGCATAAGGCGAGCGGTATGGTACGTATGCGATTTCCAACATTTCCGGCAATTTCCCGGCGATTTTTAAAGCTCTCAAATTATCAACAATTTTCACACCATCTGCCTGACGTATGGAACCTAAATGTTTACCTTCTAAAAGTACCACGAAGATTATGGCGTTTGGATCATATAAATTGGAATCTACCGGAATCATGCCCATGCTAATTAGAGCTTTCGGTATAACCTTGAAGATGAAATTCAATATAATTCAAATCAGGTAATATGGAAAGGAAAATTTTTTCTTTCTTACTTTTACTTGTTTTCTATCGAGTATATATCAGGACCGACAGGATACGCCCAACAAACCGGACAAATTTGGCATAAAATTCTGGTTAGCACTCGTATATAAAACATGGTACCAATTGCAACGAAACGACTATCATCACGAAAGCTTCTTCCACACAATCGCAAAGTACAAGAATGTGCAGAGCCAGATTTTTACGGTTTTCCGCACCACCCTTGGGGTGCCGTGATAGGCGCGTTGCCAATTGTTTTAAATGGCTGGCTCCCCTGTAGGCCTACGCCATTATATACATTATATACATATACATAATTACAATATTATTTACAATAATAATAATAATAATAATGATACATAGTAATACAAAATAATATGTGATAATACGTAATAAATAAAAAGCCCCGCTAATAAATACATATAAATAAAAAATAAAAATTACTGGTATGCCGGTGTGCTGACATCTGCAAAAGAAAAATATTGTGATTAATAAATTTTATATACAAAGATGATCACAAACTTACCATTGGCCTACGGAAGTATCCCATTCTGCTGAAACGATGAGTGGAGGTGAAAAACGAAGCATGCTCTTTGATCTAAAATAAAATAAAAAGAAATGAATAAATCATATATAATAATAAGTAACGATAAATGCAAACTTACCTTTAGCATGTAGCGAATCTTCATCTATAGGAGGCGGCGACCGGATAGCTGGATTTGACTTTGCGAGCGAACGAGAACGACTTCAAAATGATGATACATTTTTAACTCTTTTTTGGATCCAGTTTTTGTCAATCAGTAGCAAATGTATGATGAAGCCTAGGAGGTTAGTCCGGTGACTTCTTCCATTGGGGCAGGAGCCTCTTTTCTTCAAGAAGTCTAGCTGCTTTAGAATTGCCGCCTGGGTACGCTTGCCGATGTTGGGCTCAACCATATGAAATCTCATAATTTCCAAGTAGATGCCCATGGCTTCCAAGAAAACATTGAGCACATTAAGCCTCGGAAATTCTGGTTCCAGATGCTTATTAGCCAGGATTTCATCGTGGCACGCTTCTTCCTTCGTTAGCGTTAGGTCGCTTAGGCACGCTTCGCATCTTAGCTGCTTACGGATGTATTGGGCTGTTCCATAGCCTATGAGCAGCCTGAAGTGTTCCGCCTCGTTAATGGTTAGACGTTTGGCAGCTACTTTGAACGGCACCCCATTCAGGTCGTAAGGCAGGAACTCATCTTCGGCCTGGGCTGGTGTCTTATAATTCAGCCTCTCCAAAACTCGAATTGTTGTTTGATTAAGCGGATGCCTAGCTTCATCACACCATCCACCGGTCTTGTTCTCTTTCTCCTGCGTGGCGCCATCTTGCAGAAAAATTTCTCCAAGAGGTCTTGGCTTACCCTGCAGGCGTGTATAGTTATGCCAGGGTAAGCCTCCAGCAGGTCATCCATGATCTTCTCGAAGTTGTTGATGGTATTCAAGGTGGGCCTAGTTATTTCAGCCGTCGGGAATTTATTTGTTAGACAAGTTTTCACTTTCGCCAGCACCGCCTTCTGTCCTTCCCATTGGGCGCTGCTTATCTCGCCCGTGTGCATGACTTCGCATAATGCAGTCAGAGAAGCGATAACTTCGTATGTCCGTAAGTCTTCTTCTTTATGAATAATTTTTCTCTGCACAGCGACGTCTAAGTTTGCCACTGTTGCGGGAGTTAATAGCTGCATAAACTTTTTCATCGTTGAGCCAACAGAATTAAGAATTCCCTCACCTTCGTCTTACATACTGGTTTACTTGTTAAGTAGGCAATATCATCGATGATATCAATATTAACCATCTGCTGGATTTCACTATAATCGTCCTTCAATTTCAATTTCTGTAAATACTTCGAAGAAGCTTCTAAAAATCAAGCAAAAGGCACTAAAACATTTTACAACTTTTATGTATATTTTTTTATGTTCGTTATCAATACTTTTAGACAAATCTTATCAACTTATCGAAATATATCTCTATATAACGGTACAGATTAGAAACTTCTTTGACCCGTAGTATAGATTGACGTTGATCTCATTTCTCATTTCAGTTCATTAGGTGTAAATCTATTCTGGTTAAGTTTGGCCAATGTTCAAGCCAAATTTGGCAAAAGAACGTTCGTATTCAATTTAAATCTTATTTGATTGAAACAATTAAATAATTAAAACAATCTATTAATTAAGATACGCATTTTTGATTTCGTTTACTTTGCCTCCTGACTTTGATATTGGATTAAATTTAATGTTGTTTGAATCCGCAAAGCTGTATATAATTTCATGTATAATCACCGAGAAAGCAATTAATAGTAGGTGCAGTTACCATGTAGTCATTAGAAGGAAGATGTGCACATACTACGTCTTATCGTTCTTTTCATCAAACGTTCAAACGTTAGGCGCTTCTCAAATGCATCAAAATCAATAAAAATTCATATCTTAGTCCTACAATGCAGAATATAATTGAAATTGTCTCTCATCAACCCCACCTTTTGGCTGTATAGCGACTACATGCTTCTAGTCGTGTTAATCTGATAAGTCAGCATTTGTATGAAAACCATGTACTCGCGGCGGATCTATGCTACGCAATTCCTCGATAGCTGCCAAGTAAGCTTCTTGTTCTTTAAATGTCTTGCAGCCTTTATAGAGTTTGAAGGCTTCGTCGAAAAGATGATCGTGAAACCAAGCACGACCAAAAGTGTTTAGTAAGCGTTTGTCATAATCATCAGTAACGCGGCCCCGATACTGTACTGTACCTCTCATCAAATATTTGGAAAATTTAATTCTTCCCCTTGATCACACAATTTCGGGTCGTCAAATATATGGAAAATTTGAATCTTCCTCTTGCTCACACAATTTCTGGTCGTCATATATTTGAAAAATTTAATTCTTTCTCTTGCTCACACAATTTCGGGTCGTCAAATATATGAAAAATTTAATTCTTCCTCTTGCTTACACAATTTTTACAATTCTTGTTCTTGCTCATATAATTATAAAAGTGTGTGAAGTTCAATATATGTGGACAGTATGATTATTTGTTTATAAACACAAATGCCTTACCGCGGTCTAGCTGATACCTTTCCCGGTTTCTAAATCATCCAGATGATTTTGTACAAATAAGCAACCGCGTACCATAAGCGTAATCATAAGCGTACCAATCAGCGAAATTGAATTCGTATGATATATGCTAACCCAAAGGTCCAAATTTTCGAAGTTCTTGCACGACAAGGATGATAAAAGGCCGACCGAGGATAGTCTAGAAAATCCTGAGACAAATTGGAATAAGTTCTCTTCAGATCAGCGCGGATACCTGCTGGAGGTTCATTAGTGAATTTTAAAGACATTTGCAGCAAAGTGATCGAGAACGAATCATGAAGTTCCGTTGCAATCCAAACACGAAAGAGATGGAATAGTTATACATTTCAATTGCGATTTAAAAGTGAAATTGAGAAATAATTGAAAGAAGTACGGAACTTAAAGTTAAAAAGAAAAAAATTTCAATCCTCACCCAATATACCCATTAGGACATTGCTACAGCAAGATCAATCTCCTGGCAATTCTGTTATAACATGTAATATTGAGTTCTAAGAAAAATTTTACGATTATTTAACTTAGCAACATGATCAACAACCAGCTTTCGTAGTAAATTGCCTAAGCATGTTGCCTAAGCACTTTTGTTGCACCTCTGATGGCTTGAAATTGAAGGACGATTATAGTGGAATCCAGCAGATGGTTAATATTGATATCATCGATAATATTGACTACTTAACAAGTAAACCAGTATGTAAGTCGAAGCTGCGGGAATTCTTTCGTTAATTCTATTACCGAATACTTTGATTTTGATTTTTGGATTTCATTAAATTGGCTTTACTTATAGCGCAGTGGGCTGTCACATCACTTTTGCCAGGTTAGAATTTGCGATTCGTAATGGTTTAATAACGTTGATGCACTGGGGCTACAGATATTGATCCTTGGATGTGTTGCTTGGAGAATCTCAGCCTGCCATTCTTCGCTATGAGCTTAATTATGACAGTTTTCTTTAAAATTAAAATTTATTTGATTTTTACGATTTATTTAAAGATATTTAAGTCAACAAATAAAACAATGTAGCCGACGGATACCGACTTTTTTATTCTCCGCGATCTCCTTAATTCAGTAGATAACGACTTATGATTTCAGATCTATACTAAACGTATTAATACAATCCAGATTCCAGTGATCCAGCTTGTATACTGGTATTTATCTCGTTTTTGAGGAATATGAAATAGCGTTAAGCCCTTTCTTTCATATCTATTATCAAGTTTCTGCGAGGTGACTATAGATATGTTCATGGCATGTAAAGACTTGGGCTTAGGCTTTAATAACTGATCGAATTTTTTGATACAAATGATCTTTGCACCGAAAGATGGGTTATTAAAAATTTTCAGTTAAGTGCGAAAAATTGTTGTACGTTTAAAAATTATCTGCATATCTATTATTGATTCCTTCATATTCCACGAAAAGCAATACCAATATAAGGTAGCGGAGATTTATAAAATAATATTAATGCAAATGCACATCTTACAATAACTTTGTGTTAATAACGCTGGCGCCCACTACTTGTTACATAGGTATTGGGTGGAGGCGGCGGATAACTTACACCAGGAGGAGGTGGTGGTGGGGCAACACCAAGAGTGGAAGTACCTGGCATGGATACGATTGTATTTGCATAACGCGGTCCGTACGACGGTGCTCCATAGGGAGCCAGAGGAGGCGGCGGCAAAGGTGGCGGTACTGTAGTAGTTCCCACGCCACTATGCGGATAACTAACACCCGGTGGTGGAGGGGCTCCTGTGCCATACATAGGGTGGATCATATGGCTATTCATAAGAGGTGGCGCGCTGTACATTTGCGCGTGGGCAGGATGATGTACATGGTGATAACCCGGCGCCGCTGTTGTAGTCGCATTTGGAACATGGTCAGATGCCGTAACAGCCATAATAGGAACGGAAGTTGCTGTAGTAGCTAAAGATTTTATGGTTTGCACGTTATTTATTGCATCGACCGCAGCATTTGAATTATTGGACGCACTGGGTATCACATTTTTGTGTTTGCTAACCGGCGATCCCGTATGACTGCTTGCGCTTGAAACCTTTAAAGGGGTAGGGCTATCAGCACGACTGGGTGGCTTTTGAGGTGGACTGTTACTCTCCGCTGGTTCTTTTGGGTTGCTTTGATATAAGTCCAAAACTTGATGGCATATATCTTCCAGAATGTCCATTGTAACATCTTGGACAAACATATCCCACCATCGCACATGATGTGGCTGACGACCTACCCAGTCCGTAAGAGTAAATTTACTTAATTTACTAGCCAAATGGATTAAGGCTACTGCAATAATTTCTGGCTCCCACTGCAGGCAAACTACCGTGCTCAGTGAGTCATTAACAAAATTCCAAGCCATTTGCACCATTTTCTGCAACTTTTGTTGATCGCCCTTAAAACATTTCGCATATTTCAGTAGAAAAGTGTATGGATGCTCGACTTGCAAATCAAACTTGATGGTTTGTAAAAGTATACGTTCCAAAGTCACTACCTCCTTTAATAGAAAATATGTTTCTTTAAATTAGCTTTATAAATGCAGCGTGTGATATACCTCTTTAGGTTCTTTTCCAAACGAATAAAAATGATTGTCGGATAGCAGTTGGCGTGCAGTCATTATTATATCGCGACATTTTTTTGGGGTCTCTTCCACTTTTCCGGCTAATAATAAACAACAGCAAGCTGTCACGTAGCGTGGAAAACTTTTAAATGAATGAAACATATAGAAACGATGAAAATAAACTACTCCCGTTGCCATAGTGTTATGTCCAAGACCCATTTGTGTTCCACAGGTCATAATAAAGCGAGCACCTTCACGGCGATATCGCCTTTCCGTTTCCAACGGTATACCGTCTCTGACAGAGGGAGTATCACGCAAATCTTTCTTATCAAAATACCAACACGGCATCGTTGCTGTTATCGACAATTTAAAGAATTTGACGGCCTTGATGATGTTTAAAGTATTATCACAGTTATGTTTATTTTCTTTTATTTGATTTATTGTTTGCGTTTGCCTTGGTCCCTGCCGGTCGCTTGGCCAATGTTTAACTGTAGGTTATCTTTAATTTTATTTTTCTGTCACCTTTTTTAAGAATGTAAACGTAGTCTTGTCTTTAGAAAGAAATCAACAAAAATATATTTAGAAAAAATGAGCGCGGAACGTATGAAGTTAACAACACGGAGAATTAACAAATAACAGTGCAACGGAGATCAACTCGAACTAGTGAACGAAAGAAGTTAAGGAAGTTCAATACGCAGCGTATATTTTCTTCTTGAATGTTTAGTGAGTTCACAACAGATAATAATCTGCTGGGTTATAAAAAAAGGCAGAGTGCGCGGACATAAGATTTGTTGTCTGGGCTTTAATAAAGTTGTAATTACATTTGATGAATAACTTAAATGGGTAGCTAAAATTAGATCTTCAAATTTATTTCGTGACGGTAGTAAACGTCTGCACCCTTCGTAAATTTTGCGTCCGTTACGGTTATTTTTATTATCACAATTGCTGGGGCTTATTATTGCTTTTTTTTTTTTATTATTGATTAATGATAAATATATTTTTATTTATTTTTTTATATTTTTATAAATTTTATTTTTATGCTTAGAAAAAATTTTTACATTATTATTATTATGATCGTTATTATTATGTTTTCTTTAAGAGAAGTGTGTGTTTGCGTACCATATTGGAAAGTAATAGAAGTTGCTAGGAATGCGATATCGTCAATGGGTAACAATGATTAGCTACGTGAAAAGTAGATTTGCGGAATTCGATCGTCATATTTCATAGTTTAACTTGTGATCATTGAAAAAAAAGATTGCTATATAAGCCGCCAAGTTTTGAAAGCAAAGTATTACTAAGAAGACCAAACGAGGACAATTGGCCAAGCGTGGTGAATCAAAATTGGGATAATTAAAAAGAAAATGATTGGAAAATTTTAGCACACCACATATGCGTAAGGAACTTGTTGCAGCGTTGATAAAAAGAATCACTGCACCTGATGTGGTTAAACATAATCTTTCAATGAACCATATGATGTCGCAATCTAGATTTAAAAAACTCGATCTTTGTGTATCATTTATTTACGGAGACCAAAAATATAAATGACGCACAGAACTTAAGATGTTCAAGCGCTGCTGCCGATAGCGAATTTTCTGCTGCGGAAATTAAGGGCCGATCACCGATATTCATTGTCTTGGAAGATGCTATGTATGCCTATGCAAATGGGTACCCAGAGAAAATGACTATTGAAGGCTTCAGATTTTCGGTTATATAACAAAGGTATAATTTGTAGTGCGTATGCTGCCTGTGGGAAACGATTGTAGCGCTAATAAAACTGATTTACCGTTTAGGACAATCTGTAATTTTTATTACATTTACAAGGCGAATGGCTTTCAAGATGTTTGACTGTGCAAATGGAAGTATTAGAATGATTTGAAATTCATCCCCAAATTTGGGAGCTAAAAAGCACTGCCGACGACATCACATCTTACATCCGTCAGTAAAAATGTGAGAGAATTGTTTTTTTTTGGCGTTAACTAGGTTTGAATAGCGGAATTGCGCCCCATTAGTGCTGTAATTAAAGATTTCTCTACAGGCAGAAATTTGAATGTAGGTTGACTAATGTACGATGCTTAAGGAATTTTGCAAAAAATTTGAAAAGTTTTCGAGCGAAGATTTGAAGAGGCAAATAAGAAAAGAACAGTATGAGGTTATGGCGAAAAGATGGAGCTATAGTTAGTTTACAGCATATAAGATTTTATTGATGACCACATTAGCATTTATACGAAATATTCCAGGCAAAGGCATTCGGCGTTTGTCCCAAACTAGCAGTATGAGTGGCGGTCATGGTGCCAAGCGCTAAGCGAAGGCACAGCCACTGAACCCTACAAAGTCTCAAATTATTCGCGCTTTAACTGCATTTGGTTTTGAACAACATAGAAAGTATTTTTTTTCGATTTTTAAATTCTGTGATTTTGTTAAGCAAACAACTTCAATTGGTCATTAAATGTTTTATTAGGGGAGGCATACCCATATGACCCGGAAATAACTGGTCGATCAAGCGACTATCGTGCATAACCGAGCGAATATCGACCCAAGACCAAAGAAAACACGGCGAAGATGTTGTTAACAATTTTTTTCAATTATCGTAGTGTTGTGCATTATAAATTCCCTATGCTAAACGAGACCATACTAATATGAGATGTAGAACCTAAAAGTATCAACGGATGGTATGTTGGATCCGTAGATCTAGATGGGCTAATGCTGGCTTTTTTTGAAAAAGGGTAAGCATAACGTGGATAAACGATATGAATCTGTGCTCTACCGCTTTATATGAGCTTTATGTGACAATGAATGAAAAATAATATTAAATCACAATGAAAACAATTCGATTTGAACAACATTCCTTCACTCCTAATGGCTAAGACCCATCTTTCAGTAACATCAGAGAATTCCTCAGCAAAGGAACGCAGTAAATAACGATGTTCTTTAGGATCTTCAGCCGGTATAATCAGTGCGTTCAAGGTCATTAAAAACCAATGGTTGCGATCAGTTCGGTCGAAGGTCGAAGAAATGGCGTCATTTTTTTCGTACTTTTAACTATAACTTTCGATTCCATAAAGATATATCCGAAAATCTGAATGTTCGCCAATACCACCTAGGTATTCCCTTCCAAAAATTTTGTCAATCGGCTTACTAACACTGCTGTAATTAATGGTAAAATTTTAATACCAACTAGGAAACTACGCCTTTAACCAGAAATTTTTGTTGTGCTTTGATTTGTTAATTGGATCAAATTATTCACCTTAAACGGGTTTCCTGATTGGCCGCAAAATAAATTATGAAGTTTCCGATATTTATGCTTTCTTTCGTCTTCCCCTTTCATAAACTATAATTTGACATTGCCCGCAAGATTTAAAATATCATAAGGTTTTGTTTTCAGCAGGCCGAATGTATCACGATAAGTATTTGGTAAAACAACCGCGGGAGAAGTATCATGGTTCAAATCAACTTACTTATCACCAGTGGGTATCCTGTGTGAAGACATTGACAGCGAGGCAGGTTCGTTCGCAATCCCACCATTTTATAAAAGACGTCGCATAAGAAACAGTCACATGAACACCTCGATTGTAACGTCAACACTGCAAAAGCTCAGCAAATATAAAAGGCCGGGAGAAAACCTTAAAATTCTCCCCCACATTTTCCTGTAGAGTGTTACCTAAAACCTTTCCTCTAAATGCACAGCGTATACACATCTACTCACGGATACTTAGAATGAAACGGTTATAGTTCTGAGACTAATTAGATAGATAAATGAAGAAGTCTCAATAAAAAAAGACCTTAAATACTTTGAGTAAATGGTCACCTGTCTACACTATAAAGTTGTAAGGAATTTAAAAAGCTCTGTACTACCAGTCGCTGCTATTCAGACTATTCTCTTGAACAGGCTCTAATTCTTGTTTTCATGCCAAAAAAAAAAGAAGTAAAAACTAGGTCGTAATTGCTAAAACTAAACTGCAAGGACGCGAAATTGGGAATAAAACCATATTATAACGAGAACTGTCTCTTACACTTTTCATGCTTTTATTCAAGTCCTTTAGAGGTTAAGTTCGCACCGCTGCATCTTGATTTTTAGGATTTCATAAGTTTTATCTACGATTCTTAGGAGTTATATACACAAATTATTTACAGGAATTCATACAGACAATGCTTCTTCCGGTCTCGCCCGTTTGAATATTACGATTCAATTCTTTTGACTAGACTGACTTTGCCTTCCGCAAATATTCTGCGCGACGTTTTCATGTTGTTAATCTTTCCCTCTGTCGATAGTTGCAGAAGCCATAGAAACGATCATGAAAATGTATTTGGTTTTTTTTTTGGATTTTGGTTTCTTAGGAAATCGAGTAGCTTCATACGAGCTTAGATTATCAAATATGGAATTTTCGTAAATGCTAAACAATAAGTAAATAATGTGATGTTTGTAAACCATAGAATGGAAGTAATCCCAAAACGAGAGAAACGATTTTGGTCCTCATAATATAAATTTGGTGATTTTTGAAATTATAAATTTGTAACTGATATATTTGTTGATTGCAATTTTCAGCCTATCATTGCGTCTGTTTCTTTTTATTGCTGAAGTATTGTTGAAGTATTGAAAACATTATCGAATTTTTATAAATCGTCTTCGATAAGCTTGATTTATGTGAATAAAAATCAAGGTTTTTTTATGTGAGATCTCGGAATATAAATAAATATAAATAAATATAAATGTAAAATTTTTTCTGGCTTCATAATACAATCATGATTGTAATCGCGCCACTGTGCTCACTAATTGCTTTCAAAGCTGTTACCTCGACTCGTATATACATAATTTTTCCTTCTCCATTCTCCTTTACATCAATTTGAACGTGAATTATGGGATAATTCCTTGACAGCGTTTTGGCACTACCCCCGGTGAAAAATCGCTGCGAAATACGAGGAAACGGTCGCGAATAATATTTTTGATCACAGATAAAGTCGCCATCCGCTTCCATGCAATCAAAACCAACAATTTTGTGTTTGTTGTTGTTTGCACAGTGTTCGTCGCTTCATCCAGACGCTGTGTATTCCAAACGTAACGCTTTGCTCTGTTGATGCTTGTAATTTGAGTTAAAATACGCTGAATCCGTTAGTTCATATACATTTCCATTATTTAGGCGCCTAACGTAAAATGTAAAAGTATATCAGAAATGAAATTGTACGAATGCATTAAAAAGTCGTCTGCTTTGCACTGAAAATTTCTCGAAAATGTTCTAAAATCAAGGCTAAAGCTTTTCTTCGTAAGCTCCACAATGTGGTGATATGTAAAGCGCACATCTCTTTAGAAAACCAAGTACTGATGATTATGACTTACATGGCCCGGAGATATTTACTAAAACTTTGGTCGGTCGTGTGCGTAGTGGTGGAGAAGGCTTCTGGCAAAGTTAATAAAAGCCCAACATCTTTTAGAATCGCTTCATCTTTTTTCCTTTCAGCGTCTTTGGACACAATTTGATTCAAATTTTCAAATCATGTTTAAGGTAGCCATCGGAGAAAAACACGAATCCCCGGGAACCTCTCTCAAGAAGGGCATGACTTTATTGATCATTGTCTTCAACATGATCCTA